CGCGTTTGCTCAACAAAAATACGAAGAAAATCACTTGATCAATGCCGAGGTTAATAGAAAGTCGGTCGTGGCAGTTTCTACTGTTTTAGTATATTCCACAACTTATTGCCTTTTATTCATTTCCTCACATCCATCACGGGAGAGCGTTTACAAACTTTTCTCGTGTGGGTTCGGCTGCTGCCGATTTTCGTCTTATGAATGTCGTTGAATGCTGGTAGTCCTTGATGTCCTGAGGTAGCATCGCTAGAGCACGTCGCTAGAGCATTCCCATGTGGATTAGAGTGAAGAATGTAACATGTGAAGAGTTGAGCTAATGTTTTGAGGAAAATTGGCGATAAGCTCTTCATTTATGCGTGTTTAATCACTGAGCAGTCATTGAGCGCATTTTCTACGGTTATTTACTCACCATTTAACATGTTGAGCTTTGAAGAACCGCTAGGATGACATTTCCACCTTCTTTAACTTCGTATGGATGCAAGTGGACGTGGGTATTGAACAAAGCGGAGTATAGGTCGTAATCAGTTTTCTCCATTAGCTTTCTGCATGCAGTGACTGTTTTGTCTAGGCGGCTGAGGGCGATTATCTTGGCCATGTTTCGGTTAGCCTCGCGAATGCTTTTCCCACTCTCTGCAGGTTTGGGCATATCTGCTGCTCTTCCCTCTTTAAGATCTTCTTTTATCGGCTGATTGCATTGTTTTGCAAGCTCGGACGTGAGTTGACGGTCGCTCGTAGCTCGTGGGATTCAAAGCTGGCATGTCAGCTCGAGTGTTTCTGGAGGCAGACGTCTCCTGGTGGCTTTCTAACTTCCAGTTTTTATAGCGCTAACGTGAAGGTGTTGAATGAGCCGGTCGTATTCCTTGTCGATGTTATCGGGAACGGCATCTTCCAAGCAGCTAACTATTGAATTGAATAAGTTCCAGGGCTTTTTATTCATTCCGCGAGAAATGGAATCTTTCATGAAAGAGGGAATGGTCTGATCCCGGGTAGGATTTTGGGACAGCATCGATATTGGTTAGGAAAAACGTTCGATTTACTACGAAATGGTCTACTTCATTATCGTCATCTGTTGTGGCCATTATGGTACTCTCTATTGGGGAACTCCCATGTCCAGTGTTCAGAGTGGGGCTTTTGGAATTGCGAGCAACCATGAATGGTCTTGGTCGTCGTGCTAAACTTAGACAGCTGCCTACCGTCCTCGTTCCATTCTAGTCCCAATGTGACGTTCTACAGATGTTCTTCTGGGTCCAATCTTGGCCTATCTTCATTGATGACATCAACGAAAGTGTGATTTTCCTTGTAGAACTTCTGCAAGTCCATCTAGAACGCTTCATCTTCGTCTTCGCTACTTGATGTCGTTGCACAGACGACGAAGATTGTCGAAGCTGGTATTGATCCATCTCTTCGACGTAAACATTCGATTCGTGTCATTAGTTGTTAGAAGTAATCGATTTTCATGGCCAAACTCTTGTTATCGAAAACGCCAACACCACCGACTCCTCTAGTATCGCATGTTCCGCGGAATAGTTCTTCTCCGGTGTCATGGCGTGGAATGGGTGACCTCCTCTCGTCTCCGCTACTGCGATGACGTTTTACCTTATCCTTCTTGCTTGCATGACCAAGACTTCTATTGATGACTCAGATGCAAGTGTGCGTGCATTGTAAGTACAGATCGTCACCTTAGCCATTTGCTATTTAGGCAGTCTAGAATGGTCCTGTTATTTGAGCTGTCTCGGCTTACTCGTCCGACCCAATGCCGATGTACCGGGAACTATTTCAGAGTCAGCGAAATCCGCCCAATTATTTTACTCTGTTTAGTATTCCACATTCGCGTTTATCTTTCTTATCTCATAATATGGTAGCGGAATATACTCACGGATAGCTTGCCGTTCTCTTCCAGAATAGACAGAGAGCTTATTTGCTGGAGAGGGCTCCTACCCGCTTCCCATATACTTCCCTGTCACTTAGTTTTGGGCTTGTGGCTGGATTGACTGTTAGAATAAAAAAAATACAATCCGCATAAACCAGAACACACCTATGCACGCATGTGTGAACATGTCTTTGTATGCGCAGAAGGTATTCGTCAAATCGGTGCAGCAGAAACATGGAGTCCATCTTTTGGATCCAGTTGTGTTTTAGGGAAAGGCGAGGTCGCTTTTAGTCCGCGATTAACTCCCTAATCGCCGCATAGGGACGCGCCACGTTTCATCGCGACTAAGCGGCATGAAATCCCTCCTTGATGTGGTTCCGCGTCCGTGAAGATAGTTCAACTTTTTACTAATTTTTCCATTCAATTCATTCAGGCGGGTTTGATGAGCGCACAGATCTACTGTGAGATTGAGCATAGAACCTCAATGAGTTTAAAATTCTAGTGTTCTTTAATTGTCTTTAAATTCATAGTTTTACAAGGCTTTCAACCAAATAAGTCGAGCGCTATAAAAGAAATAGGTGACGTTATTTTGGATGCTATAAGAAATTCTCGAAGCATAATTTCTTTAGATTTGCTGAAAATCGCTCCAAACAGGTCAGTATAAGGTTTAGACAATAGAGGAAACCTTTATGCAATGGCTGCTTCAATATTAGTCATAAAGGTACAGCTGAATTGCAGAAATTGTAGATTATGAGTTGTAAAAGAATTCTCTAGCTCGACTATCAAAACACTAGTGAGAATTTTCAAGCCGACCGTCATTTAACTCGGTAACGAAGTTGTCAACATGTTTTTAAATTGAGCTTACATACATTACATATCAACTGCCTATGGTAGTGAAGACATTGGGCAGACTTTGGCCAGGCTGACCTCGGGATTCCAGGGAACCACAACGGCTTAACCAGAAAATCTCCGAAAAATGGAGATTGTGCTGTGGCTCGCACAAGCAGTGAGGATGGGCCATTCAAGTACCAAGTAAGTATTAGCTATTATCAACACGATTTCCTATGTATCGAAGTTCCAGGTATAAGGACAGCAGAGACAGTTGACATACTTCTCACCGACAACAATCTCTATACTACTGTAACCGTGCAATAAACGGAAATCATTGCTTGCGGTACTCACAAAGATAAACAAGCTTGTCTCAAAACTGTTTCCGTGCGAACTGTGGAAAGTAGAGAATAGCCTTTTTCGGATTACTCTTAATATAAGATCATTTATGAGGAAGCTATTGATCTAGTGGCAGGTCATAAAGCTTGTGTGGCAAAAGAAGGAATCGAAGATAAAGAGCATTGAAGTTGATGCGTTTCACCGTTCTATTTTGTGTTTACTGAATACAAAGAAGAACCCTCGCGAAGAACTCGGTACAGGACAAAGAGAAGCACGGGCCACATTTGAGTCATCAACAGGCACCACTGCAAAAAGATGCAGTTGCAGGCGTATGTACCAATTCTTTTTTTGCCACAGTTCCTCGACATTGGTGCCATACAACAGAAGCCAACATTGACACTTCAGTTGTCTCGAAAACAGTTCGTTCATCAAGCGCGTAGTAATGGCGATTTATTAAAGCGGTGGACTGATGTTTTCCTTCCCAATGTGAATAGTTATTCTCAAAATTAAATTAGGGCTCCTTATTCTCAGCTTACGATGGAGCCAACATGCGAATCGTAGCACATACGTGGCTAACTGTCGGAAGACAGTGAAATGGATGGGAAAAGCTCTGACGCTTGTACGATGTGTCAACGCAGACCGTCAATGCAAGGACAAAACTTCTTGTCATTGAAAGCTTAAGCCCGTATTACCTGTTCTGTTTTCCAGTTATTCGAGCAAGTACCACTAAAAGCTGCTGAAGACTACTCGTTCATCCATCGTACCAGAGTCCTCTAGCAGGCTTTACTCGAGAGATAGAGTGTGTAAAAATGTTTGTTCGTGGCCTTTATAAAGGAGTCTACCCGTCGAATTGTCGGTTTCCTGTTGTGCGGTTGGTATCTCATGCGACATAGTCGGAAGCGGATGATGTCTAAGTGTTTTCACGATGATGTATTATATGTCCGGACCATTTAAGTTTCGACATTTTGGCGAGTGGTGCTCATCGATAGAGGTCAGCACTTCGGTTCTTATATCCCTTATACAGGGTGTTTCTACCAGCTGCTCGATGACGGTGATCATACTTTTACCTTCCCCATGTAGCATTCAATTATCGGACACATATTGTGGAATAAAAGAGAATGGAACAGAGTAGACGTTTTAGGCTTCATAATCAAATTTTCCATTTCTTCGTAGTTGGCTTTCCGAATAAAATATCAGATGTACATAGAGCACTTGGAGGTATCTCTACTATTGAGATTAAATAGGACAATTGAAACAAATTTGTTTCCAAAAAACATCTTTTTCGTTGGACTTTTGAGATAAATGAGGATACCGAACGCTCTGAAAGTAGATAGTGTCAACTTAGCCTTGGGCTACCCAATACAGATTAACTGAATTAAATTCTCAGGAAGGTGCATACAAATTCTGATCTTCTTAGTCGCTGACCATTGTTAAGACTATCATAAATGTCAAATCTATATGATTTTTGCTTTGTAATGTTCTGGGCTGAGAAGGTTAAGAAGTTATGGCATCTACTGCTCATGTTAGCTACTAACTACGGTAAGGTACATGTGAGTTATGGTATTACAAAGAGGTTATCTCTCTGACGAGCGAACGGATAAGGTGATTGTAAACAATCCAAGATAATAAACAACGCACTGGAAATAAAATGGGTTGTTCATTCATAGTTCATTGATCAGCCGAATAGGCAAGTCGATATGGACAAGCAACTTTCAAACGGAGTCTGGTACCATGGACTGCTTCCACGTGAAGACATTAAGGTGCGTATCACTTTTTTAAGGAACGTGCGCAGTGGTTAGAGGTGACCCCCAATGCACACATGGGCTTTGGTTCGACCACGCACGCCAAGCTCTTCGTCTCCAAGATCGATAAATTCGTTTCTTGGAAGGATGAAAACACAGACCTGGTATATCGGCAAGCCAATGGAAATCATTGTGCAGACGAAATATACATTCAATCTCTACTATGATCCTTGACGAATCCGAATGCACAACGCATCCTTTCGGAAATGACCAATGGCTTATCCTTTCCCTTTAACCTTACTCTCGAATACATTGAACGAAATCTGCAATGAATGGCTGAAGAACACGTTCGGTGAATGTTTTTAGATGATGTTACGAACAAATGGCGACTTTCTTGTACGAACTACTGAACCCGTGGCAGGCAAACCACGTGCACTTGTATTGTCTGTTATGGTCAGACAGGAGTTTGAAGATCAAGGAGTATATTATTATTGAATTTTGAAAGTACATTTGACGATGTACTTAGTGATATCAATAGTAAAATTCTGGAGGGTGTTTGAGATTAACGCTAGGGGATGAATCAATCGGTATCATGCCTGTGAAGCACTCTAAACGTTATGCAGAAGAATTACGGAAAAATTGATCACTCCACCCAGTTATTTAGAAACCTTCTCGAGTTAAGTGGAGTGCTCGTTTAAACGAGCACCGATCGAAGCGTTGGTGGTTTGCAAACTAGAACGAGATGGTAGGAGCTACGATTTTCATGTCTTCCAGATCAAAAGGACTCTAAATTTGAACTGAAGCGACAGGACGGAATATAAAACGTACAGAAATGTTAGAAGAAGCTATAAAATGTGAACAATAACTGCTTTCGCCTTCACCTTCTTTTGCAGTTCTTTCGTTTGCTGTAGGCACTACGACGCAATGGGTAGTCTGACCATAGACTTTCGCCAATGTTCTCTCCATTACACGTAAAGAAATGCGGCTCTGAAAATATCAGCGGTGTACTGAATAGCATTTTAAATAGGCAGCTGGTTGTTAAAGCTTCCACTGGTGCGCTTTCCGCATGATTTGACCCTTCTATTCTTTGTGTTCCCCCGGAAACTGTTGATCTAGGTGTCCATTCCAAGATTAGTGTTGTGTCAGAGAAAGGTCCACTTCAAACACAAATAGAATGCCGAAAATAGTAGTAATTACAGATTAAACACTTCGTCATAACAGTGATCCCATCTGGTAAAGTTATGATCGAGAAATACGCATTCGAATCCATTAGCTCGATGATTGGATATCATCTTAGTAAAAAAGAATCTATAACAAAGGTATGTTTTTAGAAACATGGAATCTATGTCGTTTTTTTCAAACTTCTCTCTTATTCTATGCATGTAATGGAGAGGTTTCGAAAAATCGTTTGTCATGAGCGAACTAACTACGATCACTAATGCAATTCTCTCTGGTACGGATTATTTCGGTCCACGGATAGCACGATTCCCCTAGCACAAAAAGTGCGAGAGTTCGATTTAGAGAACAAGCCGAATTTCTCTTGTTATTCTGCTGGAAGTGATGCTACAGCGATTTTAACCGATCATAACACTGAACATCTCGGGTATGAAGGTCGCTCAAGCTTGAACCACCCACCGCAGGAGCCTCTTCATTGCCCATGTGGCATTGTGCGGTGGGAGACCAATATGTCGCAGGACATTTCCGTCCGGTGTACTACAGACTGCGTCGAGGACGTTCTCTACTATCTTCAGTTAACCTTGACTGTAGTGCCAAGTGCAGTGGAAGCTCCGTATGTTCAATCCAGTACATGAACTACAACTCCGAGAACACCTTATCGAGAGAATCCAGTTTCAAGCATGCCATTGAAATATACCAGTGAAACGCGCAGGTGGACTTGAAGCATTGACTTATACCCACTGATGATTCCTAGTGATATTGTGTACGCTTTTGCAACGGATCTCCCTTATAAAAGGGTCTCATGCCAGCTAGTTCCGAGGTAACGAGACGCGTCACAAAGTAGTGGGCAGGAGGTTAATCGCACACCAGAGGTGACGTTTGCTTCCCTGAGAAGTAGGTGCTTCCAGAGGATAGACGCCTTGTTTCTGCTGCCTCGATTTGGCAGATATCTTCTGTGTCTGTGATCACGTATTCATGCATGGGTACGTGAGTGTGTTCTGGTTTATGCGAATTGTATTTCTTGTATACTAACAGTCAATCTGGATGAAAGGCTGCAATCAAGTGGCAGGGAAGCATGTGGGAGGCGGTTAGGAGTCGCCTTCAACAACTAAGTCCCCCTGTCTACTCTGGGAGAGGCCGGCAAGCTATCCGTGAGTATATTCTGCTCTCACGTTATGAAATCAAAAAACTAAACTAGAGTATGGAATACCAAACAGAGTAAAATAATACAGGTCCATTCCGCGGACCCCGAAATTTTCGCTGGTACGGCAGCACTGGGTAGGACGAGTAAGCGGAGACTCCTAAAATATCAAGGCCATTCTAGGCTACCTAAATTGCACACGACTAAGATGACGATCTGTACGTACAATGCACGCACGCCTGCACTTGAGTCCTCAATAGAAAACTTCATTATGCAGGCAAGAAGGATAAGGTAAAACATCATCGAAGCAGCGGAGACGAGCGGCTGGCAGCCATTCGACGCCGTCTATGACACCGCAGAAGAACCGTTCCTCAGTGTATGCGGCAGTAGAGGAGTCGGTGGTGTCGGCGCTCTCGTCAAGACGGCTTTGACCGTGGGTTACGGTATAAGCGATGTGGATCCATACCAGCTGCAAAATCGTCCTCTATGCATCGACATCACTTCAGCGAAGAAAACGAAAGTGTATTCTTGCATATGAACGAGCGGCCTTAGCAACTCTAGGAGTTTATCATGACGACGAAGACCGATCATGGTACTCGCAAGTCCAGTAGCCCAATTCTCAGTGCTGAGCAAGGCCACATCATAGTACTTCGAAGGTTTTGCAAAATAGATGTCGCTCCTGTCTAAAAATTCTACGCAGAATCAGACCACCGCCTCCCTACGAAATTTCATTTATCACGAAAAGAGGAAAAGCCGATAAATTCGGAAAACGAAGTCCTAAAAACACAATGGGATTCATTCAGTTTTCAGTCCACTGTTGGGAAGACGTCGTTCTTAACAACATCGGTGAGAAATATAACAGGCCCAACTAGCATCTTAACGCTAGAGCTCTAAAAGCTGGAGGTTAGAGATTTACCAAGGCGACTTCATCTCCAAAAACACTCGAGCTGCTACTCCAGTTGGAATGGCACCATTTACACCGCTTACTAACATCCGAACCGGCGAAACAATGCAAGGAGGCCATAAAAGAGGACCTTAAAGAGAGAAGAGAAGTTGTTATGGTTGTAGTGGCAGAGGCTGGAAAAAGCATTGGTGAAGTACACTGAAGCTTTGCCAACTAAAAAATAAGGATCGCTTCATTCCTGCGCCCAGAGGGAACAGCTACAGCTTCGAGAACGCAGTGGAAGAAATAATTTACGACTACTGTTCAGATTTCTTTAGTATCAAGGACGTCTTGCTTTCATTTGAAATAAAGGAGAATGGTTAAATGATCACACTGGTTCTCCGTTTTGAAATCCGATATGCCATTTCGACGGTGAAGAATCGAAAGATGCCTGGTTCGGGTAGGATAAAGCCTGAACACCTGAAGAACCTTCATCCAGTCCTTATAAAAGCGATGATCCAGCTCTTCACATGTTACCAGTAATAATGCGTGGTCCATGTTCAATGGAAAACCAGTAAGACTGTGCTATTGTTCAGGAAGAGTGACCTCCATGATATCGGCAGTTATAGCCCGATTTGCTTACTGTCTTTAATCTACAAACTTTTCACTGGAGTCACCCTAAACAGTATCGCCTAACAATGGACAAAGGTTCTCCACAGGAGCAAGTAGGGTTTCCAATAGGATTCAGTAGGATGAACCACAGGCATACGCCGATAAGACATTGAAGTGTTGCAAGAGGAAAGCTCTGCCTCATTTTTACCGATGTAAAGAAGGCTTTTGACTCAGATGGGACAGAAACAGTCATAGAGACTCTGGACAGGGAGTGCGCAGCTATTTAGTATACAAAGAATATTTATGAGCTATATAAAAAATTCACGAGCGAAATTCCACCATTCTACAACGAAATTAACGTCAACGGGGAAATACGATTTGGGCAAGACGATACTATATCGCCAAAATTGTTCTTCAAGCAAACCGCAGAAAGTCAGGGGAACACGAATGGAATAGTATGGGAGTGAAAATCAATGGTCGGCAATTACACCATCTTAGTTTTGCTGGTGATACTGTTCCTATAACATCAAAGATTAGTTAGGCAGAGCAAATGCTCGCCGACTTTGATAACGCTTCCAGAATAATTAGTATTTAAGTAATTCTCACGAAAATGATGTTTATGAAGAACGGATTGGTTTCATGTGCCACATTCACTCCAAACGATGAGAATCTCTCCGAATGTTCCATCTATGTCTATCTAGGTCACGAAATCTACATGATGAACGACCTAGTTCCAGAGTTGAGCAGAGGGAAACTAGCAGCTTGGAGAGCTTTTAAAAGCATCGAGGTTAAGGTGAACAGAACAAAGAACACCAGCCTCCACACCATCCTTTTCGAGTCCACGGTTACACTTTAGTGACCTGAAAGGTGAACCAATACTGTTTCGTAAATTTCGGTATGAGAGTTTAAGGCTAGTAGGATTACTGGATTTCAAAACATGTGAGAGCTATATAACAGAAGAAGTTAGAAGAATAAAATCCAAAAGCGCAAGATTGTGATACTCTGAAGTCTTGTGAGGAAAGTTTCTTTCTGGCTGCCTACATAACGTAATCTGTTGTCAACAGCGTCAAATTCCATTTATTGCAGTCCCAAGAGGTGATCCTACGCAATCCGATCGTTCGTCAAAGTTGGGAGCTGTCCCACGACGATGTAGAACTAACGAAGAAACTGGGTGGGTGTTGTTTCTTAGGAAGTGAAGTGGGTAGGAACATGGTGGACTGAAATGGAAATCCAGAGTTGGTTTCCGAAATGCATTGTCGCGTAACAAATGTGCTGTTATAATATTCTTTCTTCTTTCGGTAATAAAATAATACAACACAACAAATAAGGGATAATTTTCAAGGAAGAATTTAGGAATCCAATTTTAGGAAGGAAAAGTTATACATAATTATTGTGCTGAATTCCAGGCGAAGGTGCTTTTGGTGAAGTACATGCTGGGAAATTAAAGTTGAAAAATGGATCTAAGGTTCCAGTTGCTGTGAAACTTGTATGCAATTCGCCCTACACTTTCCCAGTTGTGGATAGCAAGATCTTTCCGAGTGTAATGTCAATGCTGTCGTAGGCAAAATTGGAAGTTCTAACAAAGGGACAAATCAAAGAAATCATGCATGAAGCGCGTCTTATGAGGAACTTGTAGTTAAATTCTATGGTGTGGCCGCAGGACAAGAATCTCTTATGGTGATTATGGAGCTGGTAAGTTCACCATTCTGGTGCTTGATAATTCAAAGAAACTTCTACAACACTACGCCTTTATCTGATCGGTCCAATTTTGACCCTTCTAAGTACTAGTACTTATGCATCGTTCGTAGTTGACAAAGAATCCACCACCTTGCAATGGCATACATTTTGCGACATTTTCATGTTTCACTGGTTTTCATAATTTCTAGGTGCGTTGGACTCATACCTTCAAAAAAAAAATGAACAACCTATGGTTAAGAAGAATGAAATGTGCTTGCAAGTAAGAAGTACAGGTGCGAAGGCATTAAGCCTAGCTTAATCCAGACGTTGCTTTAGGCAGCTTGGGGTTTGGAATACTTACATGCCAAGAATGTTCTTCACAGGGATATTGCTGCAAGGAACTGTTTGTATGGGGACAATAAGGTAGATTTTCGCTCTCTTGTCATTTCCAAGCGGTTGAATTTACAGACAACAGTACAGGAATTAGGCGTGTATTACGTGTTCACGAACCATCGCTATATAATATTGCAGGTAAAAATCTCTGATTTTGGCCTTACTCGGGAAGGAACTGTGTATCAAATGGATCCCCATAAAAGAGTTCCTATTAGATGGCTTGCTCCCGAAACACTGAAGATGGCTATCTACACTCAGAAGACTGATGTGTTCAGCTACGGTGAACTATAAACCATCGTGCCTAACTTGCGTAAGACTGATCTGTTATGTGCATTTTCAGGCATTATGTGCTGGGAGATATACAACAACGGTATAGAACCATATCCAGGAATGAGTGTCGCAGAAGTCCATCAAAGTGTAAGAACTCGTTGAATTCCTCAATTTAGGATTATCTGGCATTTAAATAACATTTTTTCATATCCATCGTACTAAATCCTTTTCGAAACTCTGCTTGCTCACATGGTTGTCCTTTGTCCAATGTTCTGTCAATCCTGTTTAGGATGACTAGCGTGAAAAGTTCATAGGCGACAGACAGCAAGCAGATCGGACGATAGTTGTCGATATCGTGTAGTTCACTCTTGCTGAACAATAACACGATCTTGCTGGTCTTCCACTGTGTAAGAACCTTGCATTCAGACAGGTAACGTGTGAAGAGCCGAGCCAGTATATTTACGAGGATTGGCGAAAGGTTCTTCAGGTGCTCAGATCTTATCCTGAGCGGACCTAGTGCTGTTCGATTTTTCACCGACGAAATGGCATATCGGATTTCGGAAGGGAGAACTGGTGGCACAACATATCCACCCTCCTTTATTTCATATGACGGAAGGTGGACGTGGCTATCGAAGACATCTGAGTAGCATTCGTGAATGATTTTTTCCATTGCCTTTCTGGACGCTGTAACTGTTCCGTCTGGGCGTCGGAGTGCAATCATCTTGGTCTTGTAATTGGCAAAGCTTCGGTGGGCGTTGCGAATGATTTTCCCAGCCTCTGCAGCTTCGACCATTACTGATGCTTTTCTCTCTTTAAGATCTTCTTTTATCGTCTGTCTTCCTTGTTTCGCAAGTTCTGATGTCAGTTCGCAATTGCCTGCAGTTCGTGCGATTCCACGCTGGCGTATCAGCTCGAGTGTTTCTGGAGACACAGACAAGGCACATCTCTTGGTGACTTTCGAACTCTCAGCTTTCATAGCGCTTACGTGAAGATGTTGATTGAGACGACCGTATTTTTCGTCGATGTTATCGACAGCGGCATCTTCCTAACTACCGACTAATGAATTGAATATGTCCCTGTTTGCGGTCGTTCTGGGGCTTCGGTTTTGGAATTTATCTAGTTTGTCTCCTTTCCGCGAGAAATAGAGTCTTGCACGAAGGAGGCCAGAGTCTGATCCCATGTAGAATTTGGGAGAACAGCGACATCGGTTAGACAAAAGCTTCTGTTTACTACGATGTAGTCTATTTCGTTGTAGTACTCTCCATTGGGATGCTCCCACGTCCAGCGTTGAGGGTGTGACTTCTGGAATTGCGAGTTACCATGGATTGTCTTGGTCGCCATGATAAACTCAGATATCCGCTCACCCTGCTCGTTCCATTCCAATCCGTTGGCCGCAATGTGACGTTCTTCAGACGTTTTTTTTTGGTCCAGTCTTGTCGTTGAAATCTCCAATAATGACCTTGAAGAATGTGTGGTCTTCTCTATAGAACTTCTCCAAGTCAATATGGAACGCTTCGACTTCTTCTTCGTCATAGTTTGATGTCGGCGCGTAAACGACGAAAATTGTCAAAGCCAGTATTGATCCACATCTTTTTAATCGCAAACGTCCGATTCGGGTTGTAAGTTGTTCGAATGAATCGATGTTGCTGGACAAACTCGTGTTGACGAGAATGCCGACGCCGCCGATTCCTCTACTGTCGCATGTTCCGAGGAACAGTTCTTCTCCGGTGTCATAGACTGCGTTGAATGGGTGGCGTCGTCTCGTCTTTGCCAGGCCGATGACGTCGTACCTTATTCTTCTTGCCTGCATGAGCAAGTCTTCTATCGAGGACTCGGATGCAATTTTACATGCATTGTAGGTGAAGATCGTCACCACAGCTCTCCGTACTCGTCGTACTCAATGCCGCGAAATTCGGGCTTTTTCGGGATCAGGGGAATGAGGCCCGTTTTTTTTAAAACTGTGTATAGCATTTTGATAATCACGTATAGCTTGCTGGGCTCTGAATGTGGGGGCTAGGTATACTCACGGGTAGCTTGCTAGACTCTCCCAGAGTGGACATGGAGATTATTTGTTAGAGGGACTCCTAACCGCCTCCCATATACTTCTCTATCACTTGATTGCAGGCTTTTGGCCAAATTGACTCGTAGAATACAATCCTCATAATCTTAACCCTTTTATTTACTGCCTTTTTCTTCTTAATGGCAGGGTATGTTGCGAAATATAACTTGTATGACGGGTGATTGCTGATGGCAAAAAAGATCGATAGAACTAGCTGAGAGACATGCAAGACGAAGGACCCGGATGATGTAGTGGTGAAGTGCGCTGCTCCCCGGTAAGGACAACAGCGCATGTTCGTTCCTCACTGCATACACCTGTGGTCCGGAGTTTTGCAAATGTCTCAGCATTTCATACAATCCACATAATTGAACGCACCCACACACGCATACATGAATACGCCCAGCAAATACAAAATGCGTGTGCCATATCGGTGCAGCAGAAACAGGGGTTCATCCCTGGATCCACCTGCGTCTCAGAGAAGCAAATGTCGCTTTTGGTCCGCGATTAACCCCTTATCCGCCGCCTGAGGACGTGCCACGTAGCCTCGCGATTAACCGACTCGAGATCCCTCATATGAGGGAGATCCGTGGTGATGACCCAATAAGCACAGATGATTGATAGTGTTACACATTTGGGTAAGGTTAGGAAGAAACACTTTTGGGTTCCATTAGGTTTTTGGTTCGTCTTCTACACAAGTCACTGGTTACCATTCACCCACCCTTGGTCGATGTAACACGGAAGCAGATTGTTCAGACATTACCTTCTTAATGACATTCTATAGATTTGTCAACCTTGTACCTCAACCTCAACCATTGCAGGTCGAGGAAGGATATCGAATGGAACTGCCGCCGAATGTCCATCCGGATATTCAAATGTACATCAAGGTTTCATTTTGCTGTAATATCTTTTATTACTAGCTGTAAAAACAAATAAAGTTACTACCTGTAAGAGAAATTTCGATACCGAAGACCAGGAATCGTTTGATAAAACTTCGTGTTATCATTCTCTCTAAAGAGCACTTCTAGTCCTCGTCGAAAACTCATAATACACGCGCTGAATTCTCATTTTCAGGATATTTCAATATATTTTTTGCATGTGTTTTTTCTACTTAGTAAAGCTACTGCTGTGTGACACAGCTGTCTTGTTACAGGTTCGCCGTTGGCCAGAAAATCCGAACGATCGGTACTCAATGGCCGAGCTGGTAAAGCACTCACAACGAAAGTTACAAATCCCAAGGCCAAAGTTTGTGGAAAATCCACTCAACCGCATTTGATCTCGAAATAAAGGAGTACATATTTACTTTACTAATCTGTTAAATATTCGTTGTAAGAGAAAAATGACAGTAACGTGAAGCAAGTCCTAAGTATTCGTTGATCGCTGAGTTCGGTCACAAAGAATAGTCGATTTTGAGCAGCATTTCTGCCAATAAAGTCTGCAAACAACCGAGCAGTCAGGGCAACCATCTTAAGATGCAGATTAGATTTAGGGAATGCTCGAGAGCCTATTGGTTCAATCACTGCTTCTCGTCGGTTTTTTGTATAGGATTTTTTTGACAGTCGCACAACAGCGAGCTGTTTTTAAACGACAAACTTCGGTTATCGCCTTCAAACGGTCGTCGTCTCTTGCTGATGAGTGGCTACGACATTCTCCATCATCAACGCTCCTCTCTTAGAAGAAATTCGCAATCAAGGGAGAAATGTACCCTTAGAAGCGGTTCTCTGTCTACATGATTTAATAAAATTCGAGTTGTTTCGTTGCTGCATGTTAAAGTTTGAACTCATGAAGGAAAAAGACGTGGATCTAATGCTTTGAGAATAAGTGTTACAAAGATGGCCCACGAATAAGTTTTTTGGGCCATTGTTGCTGCTCTTATCTCTTTAAAAACTTCTTTGGTCAAGTTTTTGGAGTTCTTTTAACGTTCGGACTCCACTGCGCGGTTGCTTGTGGCTCGTGTGATACCCCGTTGGTGTACCAACTCGGCTGCTTCTAGAGACAGGCGTCTGTTGATAACTTTCGAACTCTTACTTTATGTGCACTAACGTGAAAATATTGAATTAGCTTATTTTGTTGTGCATTTATGTTGTGGACGAGGGCGCCTTTCAATAAGGTGCCTTATAATCTAAGTAAATCCCTATTTATTTCGGTTGTGGGATTTCGTTTCCTGAACTCTGTCTCTTTTTCTCATTTTCTAGCAGAAATAAACGCCGTTTTCCCACTTTTCGGAAATCTAGGAGACGTTGATGCAACGGCGTGCAACATTTTGGAGGAACAGCGATGTCGGTTAGGGAAAGCCTTGGATTTACTACGTTCTAATTCCCAAGACCGACACTGTGTTCACTTCGATATTGATCAATGGTGTTTTTTTTTTCATCATAAGCATACTACACTATTTATCCCCAAAAGCTGACGTTTTGGCAGATTTCGCCTTCTTAAGAACCTGCAAAGGTTAAGTTAACACCAAACCAACCTGCCAAATAGTCCAATTATCTCAACAGAAAGTCCCGATACCTAGATTTCAATGGTACTGGAAACAAAACAGTTTTTTTCACACACTCGATACTTACTGTGAGTCTTCCACTGAGTATTCCACGTGTTGACCAACCGAACTTGATTTACGTGGCTGGGTAATGCGCCTTTTGATGACGAAGCATTCGCCGGATTCTTGGAAATTATCAAAAATGCTTGACACTGAGAAGTTTTAGGTTTCCTCACAAGGATGGTTACTTCTAATTCAAAATATTCCTCGCTATGTCTGTGTCTTGTGCACTTCTAGTGGTATCTTTCTTAACATTATTTTTACCGCTTAGATGTTATACGCTTACAGAGTTGTGTATCTCTTTCGCTAATATGTTCGCCCTCTGACGGTTTGCAAGAGATCAGGTACGCTTTATCTGAATTCATGCAATCACCGTCTCTGTCGTTAGTCCAAATTATGCAATGCATTGTGCATAGACGGTCGTGC